CTCGAACTCCTGACCTCAGGTGATCCACCTGCCTTGGCCTCCCAAAGTGCTGGAATTACAGTCATGAGCCACCGCGCCCAGCCCGTTCTGTGGGAGTTTCTGCTATATTCTGGTTACTGACTGGCTGTCAGCAGTAGTGTACATATTTTTCCCACCTTGGCTTTTCTTTTATCTCTTTTTGAGGTGTCTTTGATGAGCAGAAATTCTCAATTGTAATATAGTTGAGTTTAGCAGTCATAGCTTATATCTAATATTTTTTTCTATTATATTTAAGAAACTCTTCCCAATTCCAAAGTCACTGGAAATTCTCTTTCGTCTGCTGGAAGTTTTGAAGTTCTTCTGCCTTTTGCTCTAGCACACCCAGAGTCTACCAGGAGCTCACGCATTGGTGTCCTTGGGTAACCTGACATCTCAGCCCCTTTGCTGAAATCCCCCTCCCTCCAAACCCCGGTTTGCAGTGCCACCTGTTTTATACATCAAGCTTCCAAATCTGCAAGGGTCTGTTTCTGGGCGCTCTTTGGTCCCCACATTCCACTTCTCTTAATATGCTCTAAGGATAGTTGAGGACATAAGCAGATATTTACTTACGGGAATGTCCGCTGAAATTCTGATGATAGCATTGAGGGAGCAGGAAGCACTCTAAATCTTCTGGCAGTGGGAAGCAGGTGAATGATGAGATACTCGGTAGCCAACAAAAATGCATTTGCTGATGCAGCTATATGGTAATAATATACATGACAGAAAAAGTAGCAAGGTCAAACAACAGTATGTACAGTATGGATTCCATGTTCATAAAAAGAAAGTTGTAAGTTGAAAAAAACCTGTCATCTTTGCTTTCTCTTGTCCCGGTCACACTCAGGGTGATTTTATCTGGCTTCGACCCCATCAAGCCACCATGTCCGCTCTGGCATGTCCTTGGTGACCCCCTGGTGGCTGCTTCCTTTATCCTAGCCTCAGTTCTCATTTATGACCTCGCTGCTACATTGGACATCACTGATGCGATCTTCTCGACGTGCTGTCTCCTCTCCTGCACTTCTGCCCACTTTCTTCTCGTTCTCCTTTCTGGCTTTCCTTTCTCGATGTTGGTGTCCCTGGGTTCCCATTTCCCTGGGCCTCCATGCACTCCATGCTTTCTCCTTTGGGGCCCTTGGCAAGGCATCTCCTGTGTTAAACCTTCTCCTACATCGCAGACCTGCAGTGCTGGCTGTCGCCTCACACTGAACTCCCCTGATGTCCTCGAGGCCCACAGACTCAGCACGTCCAGAATGAAACCGACGTCCCCCCACTGAGCCACACTCTTCAGAGATGTCCAGGATTTCGGTCCTGTCTCCTCCCCTTCACCTCGGTCAATTGTCACATCTTTCTGAACATTCCCGTGCCTGTGTCCATCTCTCCCCTGCCACCCCAGACTCTTGTCACCAACTCCCCCCTTATGCAAGTTTCTGAAGTGTTCTGCCAGCCTCCACGTTTCACCCCCTCTTCTTTCCCACACTGTGGCCACAGTCAGCTTTCCAGAGTGAGTGTATTTCTGAGCCACCACCGGGCTCTGTCTCTAGCCCCAAGGAGCAGCTGCGGGCCTCTGCTTGCCCAGCCCCTCCTCCCTGGCCTGCTCAGGTACCTGTTGTTCAGGCAGCCTCTCTTATGGGACATTGCTCACTGCCCTGTGCCCCACATCCCAGAGCACTCCGGTGTGTATACGTCTGCCCTCCTCTGGTCTGAGCTCCTGCCCATGCAGCCCTCAGAGCCCAGTGCGGTGACCAGCATCTGGAGACGTGGGCATGTGTCGGAGAGGGGTCAACCTCACCCGGTGACTGGGCCTGCTGATCCCTTTCAGACAGAGTCTGTTCTGGACTTTCTCTGTCCCCTGGTTTGAAGCCCTTTTCAAGGGCATTCTCAAAGGTGTCTTACTCTTCAGCAAGGACCACTGGAGACTTGCGCTTCCCCGCGAACAGCTGCACGTGGTAGTCTTGGACCTGTGGGCTGGGCGTATGTCTGTCGGGTCAGTGGGTGGCCGTGGACCACACTGCAGCTCAGGCCCAGTGCTCTCGCCAGCTTCCTCTGGAGAGCCCAGCACTGGGATTGGTGTCTCACCTGTGTTTGCTGGTGGGCGCTTGTTCACTTTCCACCTGCTGCTCTCTCTCTGACTGGAGCTTGAGAGTTTTCTTGGTGCAGTGTGTGTTGCAAATTTGTCTCTGATTGGAATAAGGATATCCTAGATGGCTCGAATGACAGTCGGCCCTTTTGTTTGTGCATAGAACCCAACAAAGTGACTGTAAGAGCCTGGTGGCCTGGCATGGCCTGAGCGAACTGTGCAAGGGCCTGGCCCTTTCACTCCTGACTCTGCTCTAGGGGGCAAGGAGAGGCCTTGTCAGCCGAGCAGCATTTCCTGTGGGTGCCTTTCACAGCTGCCACGTGCAAAATACAGCACATTATTTTGGGGTGTTATTTTCTTGACCACTTTTGGTTCATTGCTTTTGACTAAATGTTTAAAAATATTCTGCAGCATATCTATAGTACTCACAAGCAGCGAATCAGGAGAAGAAATGCAGTTTCTGAGAAGGCTTCAAAGAAATCATGGTCTTTATCTCTTCCCCAGCCTTTTCCGCTGAAACCCACCAGTCTTTTTCTGAGCACTCTTGTTCTATAAATAAAGCAACAGCTCTCCTTGGGCAGCCCAAGATCGCAGACTCTCATCCGCCCTCAGAAAGATTGTGCATGTGCGTGTGTGCGCGTGTGTGTGTGTGTGTGTGTGTAAGAGTGGTGGTGCAGTGAGTTGTGTTTTAATTTTGCTTTTCTTTTATGTATGAGATGTGTAGCAGGAGATGCAAGAAAAAATACTCTAGCATCTGTCCTTTAAAGATAACTTATTATAACTTTTCTGGGTTTTGGCTTGTTGGTTTTGTCTTTTTTTTTTTGCCCATTTAGGGAAGAGATGGAAGTGATTGCTTTCCGCGCAGAGGTAAGGAAGAGGAATGGGGGGCCAGGAGAGATGTCCTCACAGTGAGGCCTTTGAGGTCCACAGAGAAAGGGTCTCGTGATGTATGTTTTAGGCTACTGTGGATGGCATTGCTCTGTGCAGATGTATTTGAAATGAGTGTCATCCATGTGTACTTGGATCTGAAAAGGATGTTTGGAAACAAATACCATTTCCCAGTCCTTCACAGTGAAGACTGGTTTGTATCCTCGCTCCCAGAATCAGGGGGTGGGACTTTCTGTCTGCCTTGGATCACCGTTGTTCTGTTTTGGACGGGACCTCAGATGCTAGCTGTATGCTGGGGATCCCTGCTGTCTCTAGGGGAGCGGGTGGGGATGGGAAGGTCACTTCTGGCAAACAAGCCTCATCAGGATGCTTGATCGTTGGATAATGTTGGGCTCCTCTCTTTTTCCTTCCTGGCACTCTTTAATTACTGGGGAAAGGGTGGGTGCCTTTTTCAGAAGTGTGAGGTGAATGTATAAGCCAAGAATGAGTCAGTAGATTCTTCAGCAGCTCTCCCCTGCGCCGATCCTCTAGAGTTGGAAAGGGCTGCTGTCGTGCCACCGGGCCAGTGCCGAAAGCAGAGTTTGCCACGATTGGCATGTGCTGGTGAGCAAGAAGCTCTTGGAAGTGGTCGTGAGTGCAGCCAGTTTCCCCCAACCCAGGAAGGGCACAGTGAGGATGGCTTGTTGCAGGATGAGGAGACCCTTAGGCACTGTGCATTGGCCTGTGCTATGCTGTCCGGACGTGGTCCTGGTGTCCGTCCACATGTTGATGGGGTGTCGGGGTGGGGGCTTTCTGCAGCCTTCCCTGTTCCGCTCTCTCCTGTTGTGAACGGCCGGTAGCCGGATCGGGCAGTGCAGTGTTCCGCGCTTGCATTCTGGCACAAGTGGGGGACAGGAGCCTCCTGTGTCTTGCTCTTGCTGGTTTTATGTTAGGGAGTTTTCAGCGTTTGTGGATACTTAAGAACTTTGTGCACACGCTGTTTAAAACATTGACGTAAAGTGCAGAGCTATATGGGATTAGGTAATTAAGCAAAAGCTTCTCTGAACCAGTGTGCTTGTCTTTGAACAGAATTTTTAGGAAGCCTCCCTCCGTTTCCATGCTGAGGCCCTTGTGGACTGGGCATTTCTGTGAGGTGGGATGTAACATAGTGTGCAAACGCTGAGAGCCAGGTTCTTGTCTTCATGCATGTCGTTTATTCTTTCTGACTGTGTTAATGGCTCCAAGTACGTCAGAAAGTCTCATGACCAAGTAGTTCCTTACGCATTTGATGTTTTGGTGGCATGGGCCGTGTAAGGCGGGGGAGCAGCTCCGGGATAAGTAGTGCCCCCTTCATTCTTGGCTTTAATTGAGCCAAGGTGAGTGGACTGTAGAGTCAATTTCTGGATTCTAATAAGAGAACATCTTGTGTTATGGGGTGAACTCATCAGATTTTCGGGTTGAGAGGAGTTTTAGTGTCTGTGGCCGAGGCACTTCCCTCTCATGGTGTGTGCAGATGCACACACCCAGCCTGTGAGTGGTGGGTTGGCCTGAGGGTGCAGGCCTGGAGCTTCTGAGCCCCAGAGCCACTGACGTAGACAGCTTTGGCAGCAGCATCCTGAGAAATGGCAGGGGGCCAGAGAACACAGACACAGGGCCAAGAATAGCTGAAAAATACCAAATGTTGAAGTTGGAGAATGCACTGGCCCCATGTCCCAGTGTCTTCCCAGCTGCTGCGTACTGTGGCCCTGTGAGCCTCAGTGTCCTTTCTTCAGGTTGCCAGTGCATCCAGGGCACACCCTGGGCCTCTGACACCCCCACCCACACAGGCACACATTGCCCCATAGAGGAAAGGATTGGTGCAACCCCCATCCCCCCGGCAGCATGCTGGGCCTGTGCATAGGTCAAGGTCTGTTGAGAGTGTGAGAAATATTTTCTGTTGGAGACATGAATATGTTTCAGCCACAGCAGGGTGCGTTTCAGCTGGAAGAGTGAAAGGGCACCTTGAAAACTCAAGTTTATGAATATGTTTCTGTACTTTCAGACCATCATCAAAGAGGGGATGCTGACCAAACAGAACAATTCCTTCCAGCGATCAAAAAGGAGATACTTTAAGCTTCGAGGGCGAACGCTTTACTATGCCAAAACGGCAAAGGTGAGGCCCCATGCAGGAAAACACGCATGAGGACATCACAGGAGCTGTCCCGGGGGAGGAATTGGGGGTGCTGAGTCCTTGTGTGGGAAAAGCTTCAATTTTCAGATCTGTTATTGCCAGTGAGTTTTGTAACACTCCACACTGTCAGGTTTTACTTGTCTCAAGGTATGTTTTATTTCTTATCAAAATTAATTTCTATTCATTTTCCTTTTCTTTAATGTCATCAGTAATGGGGAAAAGGAAAAAAAGGGTCACAGAAACAGCCACATTAAAGTTGGATATCTTTGTTTCAGAAAGGTTGGGGGGAATCACAGGGTTATGAATTTTATCTTATTATTATTAAATAAATCTTTATTCTTTAAGTATATTGAGCTTTTTTTTTTATTTTTTGTTTTTTTTGAGGGGGAGTCTTGCTCTGTTATCCAGGCTGGAGTGCAGTGTCGAGATCTTGGCTCACTGCACCCTCCGCCTCCTGGGTTCAAGCAATTCTTCTGACTCAGCCTCTCGAGTAGCTGGGATTATAGGCACCTGCAACCACGCCTAGCTTATATTTTGTATTTTAGTAGAGATGGGGTTTCACTATGTAGGTCAAGCTGGTCTCAAACTCCTGACCTCAAATGATCTGCCTGCCTTGGCCTCCCAAAGTGCTGGGATTACAGGCGTGAGCCACCCATGCCTGGCCTAGAGATGGTGTTTCACCACATTGCCCAGGCTGGTCTTGAACTCCTGACCTCAAGTGATCCTCCTGCCTTGGCCTCCCAAGGTGCTGGGATTATAGGCATGAGCCACTGTGCCCGGCCAAAGTAGAAGGAGCTGAGCTTTTTGATGTGTGAACAGAAATGGGAAATTCTTTATTTTTAGGCTTTCTAGCAATTAACCTTCTTTCTGTTGCCCTATTGTAGGTAGATTTAAAACTAGAAGCACCAGGTGGGTGCTGCTGGAGGAGGAGCAGCCAGTGAAAGTCACAGATTACTGCCATGTTTAAGCGGATGTGGTGTTAGACACCAGTGTGTTGGCTGGGATTCCGAATACCTGTATTTTTATATCAGTATTGGTGTCAGTACTAATATTTTGGTATTTAAGAAATCTGGGATCTGAATCATTTACATTTTGAGACATATCCCTAGAAAGTTACTGCATTAAAATTTGAAATGGAACAAAGCAGCTTTTTTAGAAAGGGTTCTGACCACTTCCCTCACTTAAAAAAAAAAAAAAACACTAGAAAACACCTTTTACAGTTAGTTCTGGGGGCGAGGGGAGGGGGAAGTTTACTTAAAAGATTGAGTCTCTTTTCTGAGTAATTAGTTTGATTTTCTCCAGGGTTCCTCATAGAGCCATCGTAGAATAGAGGGGATGGTATATGGGAAACAGCAGGCAGGGGCTGTGCTGGGGGACTGTGACCGTGTAGGGAATGGAAAGGGAGATGGGGGAGGTCCCCAGGCCTGATTCCCAGCCTGCCCTGGAGCGTCTCTCTCTCTCCAGGACCAGCCTCCTTCTGATCTGCTCCCTTGTTTCCTTTCACGGCCAGACCCCTTCCATTTGGACTTGTCTCTCTTCCCCAGAAGAATTCATTTTAGCCAGGACCTTTCCCCTCCATGTGCTCGCTGGAGGAACAAGCTGGGAAGACACAGAATCCTCAGTCCGGACCCTGGGGCCTTCCCCCAGCCAGAACACTGTGTGAGAACATACTTCACATGTAAAAGTGAACACTGGTGTTGACAGTAGTAGTAAATACAGAAATACCAGCATTGGGTTGTTTGCTTTGGTTCTCTCTCTTTTTTCCTTCACTAATGCAATGCCAAAGTTCGTAGATTTTTTTTTTTTTTTTTTTTTAAATCATGGCACTATACCTGTGAGCCCGAGCTTTTGGTTAGAAGCAGGTGGGTGAGTTAATTTGGATTGGCTTGATTGGATCCTACAGTTTCAAGGTACTTGGGCTTCTGTGGGTGCTGGGTAGGGATCCAGGGGGGTGTGGTGGGCAGCGCTGGCTAGTGCTTAAGGATGTCCTTATCTTTATGTGCCTTAGTCCCTGTGTTTGTCTCTTTCCAGTCAATCATATTTGATGAGGTGGATCTGTCAGATGCCAGCGTGGCTGAATCCAGTACCAAAAACGTCAACAACAGTTTTACGGTAAGATTCCTGAGTCACGCCTTTCTTGATTCTTTACTGAAGTTGGCTTTCCTTTTTGATCTGAACATGTGTCCAAGCAGTTCAAACACTTTCATTCTTTTCTTTCTGATTGGAATGATTGCTGGTAAAATTTGAATTTAATGCTGAAAGTAATACTGTGGTTGGAAAATAACCAAGAATTTGGCATGCATAAGCACTAAGGGACAATAGGGACAAAATGAAAATTTTTTTTTTTTTTTTTTTTTTTTTTTTTTGAGACGGAGTCTTGCTCTGTCGCCGAGACTGGAGTGCAGTGGCCGGATCTCGGCTCACTGCAAGCTCCGCCTCCCGGGTTTACGCCATTCTCCTGCCTCAGCCTCCCGAGTAGCTGGGACTACAGGCACCCGCCACCTCGCCCGGCTATTTTTTTGTATTTTTTACTAGAGACGGGGTTTCACCGTGTTAGCCAGGATGGTCTCGATCTCCTGACCTCGTGATCCGCCCGTCTCGGCCTCCCAAAGTGCTGGGATTACAGGCTTGAGCCACCGCGCCCGGCCAAAATGAAAATTTTTAAAATATGTTTTGGTTCACGTCTTTTTTTTTTGAGACGGTGTTTCGCTCTTGTTGCCTGGGCTGGAGTGCAGTGGCGCTATCTCCAGCTCCCAGCAACCTCTGCCTCCCGGGTTCAAGTGATCCTCCTGCCTTAGCCTCCCTAGTAGCTGGGATTACAGGCATGTGCTACCACACCTGGCTAATTTTGTATTTTTAGTAGAGACGGGGTTTCTCCATGTTGGTCAGGGTGGTCTGGAACTCCCAACCTCAGGTGATCTGCCCGCCTCGGCCTCCCAAAATGTTGGGATTACAGGTGTGAGCCACCACGCTCGGCTGGTTCATGTCTTACTAGCTCTGTACAGAGTTTTGTTTTTTGTGATTAGTGTAGAAAATTTGGAAAATGCAGACAAGTATGTTAAAGCAATTAAAAAGCAGCCATAATTCAGCCACCCCAAAAAACATTGAGTGTTAATATTTTGGTGTATTTCTTTTTTTTCCCTTTTTTACGTTTAAACTTTCTTCCTTCCAAATTTATAAAAGTTATATTGGACTTTGTGCAAAAGTTCTAAATGCATGAAATCATGTGATTGCACCACTTGGAAGTGGCCAGCTGCTTACTCTGGAGTGTTTATCTTTATTTCTGTATATTTGTGTCTTTACCTTCGTGTACCCGTGAGATCATGCTGAACCTTTTGGTTTACACCTGTGTGTTTTTTTTTTTCCCCCGGGACAATTTATAGTAGACATTTGCTCATGTCAGCTGATCTAAATGTTCATTATATTTTTTAATGGCGATAGTAGCATTTTCTTGTATGATTTTATAATTTAGGCTTTACGGGCTGACTTTAGTGCCTACCTGTATAAGGTTTGACTCTTAATAACAGCACTAGAACTTTTAAAGCTATTTTTTTTTATGTTATTAGGCCATCCCATCTAGACATAAAGTATGCCCCCTAATTTTAAAAATTATTCTTTTATAATTCAGTCAAGGTGAGTAATTTTCCTCAAGTTTAGGATCCGACATTTTGGGTTAGTGTTAGTTTCACGTGCTTTCAAGTTTTATTTTGTTTATTGATGGATTCATTGTTGATGTTGCTGATACAAATGGGATTTTCCTTCCTCTGTTTAAACCTCTGCTTATTTTGTGTTGATGTAACTGCTCTTATTTTACTTGGAGTATTTGTAGTTTTCTCTATTAATTTATTTTTACCAGCTGGGAAGAGACATTTTTAACTACACAAATAGATTTTTCTTTGATTCGTGGTTTTTAGAGTCTTTAATAGGAGTAGGTGTTGAATTTCGTTGGAGTGTTCTGAGCATCAGTTAATTAATTAATTAACTTTTTAGAGATGTAGTCTCCCTTTGTCACCCAGGCTGAAGTGCGGTGATGTGATCTCGGCTCACTGTCACCTCTGTCTCCCAGGTTCAAGGGATCCTCATGCCTCAGCCTCCCTAGTAGCTGGGATTATAGGCGTGCACCATTTCGCCCAGCTAATTTTTGTAATTTTAGTAGAGATGGGATTTCACCGTATTGGCCAGGCTGATCTCAAACTCCTGGCATGGAGTGATCTGCCTGCCTGAGCCTTCCGAAGTACTGGGATTACAAGCGTGAGCCACTGCGCCTGGCCCTGAGCGTTAATTTAGATGTTCATTTTGGTTTCAGTTATTTGCATATTTCCTATTAAAAAAATTATTCTTGGTAATGTTGAATTTTACTCCTTAATCTTGCAATTTAGATTTTTCCCATTGGTGTATATGCATTTGTTTTGGGTGAGAAGGTAGCCTTGTTGCAGTTTTAAACAATTGTTTTTTCTATTTTTAATTTTAATGGTTACATAATAGTTGGACATATTGCGTTTGTTGTGTTTTGATTTCAGAGTTAAAGTAACCCCATAAAATTCATTTAGTAACTTTCTATGAGTTTATGTTTTCTGCAACATTTTATGTAGCTTTGGGATTGGTTGTTTCTTAAGTTTGAGAAAATTTATTTTAAAGTATTTGTCAAGAAGACTTTTTAGGGAGATAAGGCTATAATTGAAATAAATCCTAAAATATTTATTTCTTGCATTTTGATCATTTGAGCCTTTTTCACTTTTTGAGTCCATATCTGTAATTTACTTTCTCACTAATTTCACACCTTCAAATTTAGTAGCGTGTACTGTTGTGTAGTTTAAACACGTATGTCTCTGGTTGGATCTCCTTTGCATTTCTAATTTTGTTAGTTTAGTTTGTTTTTCTTGTCAGATTTCTTAAACTCTAGCCTTTTTGTTTTCTTTGTTTTTAAAGAGAACTAGTTCTTAGATTATTGAACAATTCTCCTTTTCTGTTTCCTTGTTTTTTTTTTTTTTTGAGACGGAGTCTCGCTCTGTTGCCCAGGCTGTAAGGCTGGAATGATCTTGGCTCACTGCAACCTCCACCTCCTGTGTTTAAGCGATTCTTCTGCCTCAGCTTCCTGAGTAGCCGGGATTACAGGCACCTGCCACCACGCCTGGCTAATTTTTTTGTATTTTTAGTAGAGACAGGGTTTCGCCGTGTTGGCCAGGCTGTTCTCAAACTCCTGACCTTGAGTGATCTGCCTGCCTCGGCCTCCCAAAGTGCTAGGATTACAGGTGTGAGCTACTGAGCCTCACCTGTTTCTTTTTTTTTTTTTGGGCGGGGTTTCACTCTGTTGCCCAGGTTGGAGTGTAGTGCTGTGATCTCGGCTCACTGCAACCTCTTCTTCCTGGGTTAAAGCAATTCTCCTGTTTCAGCCTCCTGAGTAGCTGGGATTACAGGCGTGTCCTACCACTACCTGGCTAATTTTTGTATTTTTAGTTAGAGATAGGTTTTCACCATGTTATCCAGGCTGGTCCTGACCTCAAGTGATCTTCCTGCCTCAGCTTCCCAAAGTGCTGGGATTACAGGTGTAAGGTACCATGTCGGGCCCTATTTTTCTGTTTTCTAAATCAATGTCTGCATTTATGTGTATTGGTTTTTTTGTTTTTTTTTGTTTTTTTAGACAGAGTCTTGCTCTGTTGCCCAGGCTGGAGTGCAGTGGTGCGGTCTCGGCTCACTACAGCCTCCACCTCCCAGGTTCCAGTGATTCTCCTGCCTCAACCTTGGGTAGCTGGGATTATAGGCACACGCCACCATGCCCAGCTAATTTTTGTATTTTTAGTAGAGACGGGGTTTCCCCATGTTGGCTAGGCTGGTCTCAAACTCCTGACCTCAGGTGATCTGCCTACTTCGGCCTCCCAAAGTGCTGGGATTACAGGTGTGAGCCACTATGCCTGGCTGTGTATTGGTTTTTGTCTGTTGTAACTTATGAAATATGTTGTTCAAGTCCTCTTATGATCTTGTTTTTTTTTTTTTTTTTCACTTGTGCTTCCATAGGCTGTTAATGAGGAGTTAATCTATTTCAGGCCAATTACATGTAACACTTTGTTCATGTATTTCTAACAGTTTTCACCTTCTCCATTTTGAAGCTTTGTTAAGCATATACATGTTTTAAAAGATAATACCCTCAATATTGAGTAATCATTTATTAATAAAGATTAATAAAGTAGTAGCTTTTTTTTCCCGCCCCCGACAAGGTCTTGCTCTGTCAACTGGGTTGGATGAACTGGCACAATCATGACTCACTGCAGCCTTAAACTCCTGGGCTCAAGTGATCCTCCTGCCTCAGCCTCCCAGTTAGCTGGGACTACAGGTGCTTGACACCATGCCTGGCTAATTTTTACATTTTTTTGTAGAAGCAAGGTCTCGCTATGTTGCTCAGGCTGGTCTTGAACTCCTGGCCTCAAGTGATCCTCCTGCCTTGACCTCCCAAAGTGCTGGGATTAAAGAAGATCTTTTGCACAATGAGTAGTTTGTGTCATTAACCATTCTCTGATATTAGTATTTCTAAGTCTTCTTTTCTTTGTTCAGAATTTACTTAATATATATAACCAACCCCCCCACCCTTTTCCATCCTAACTTTTATCTTTAGTTTTCCTTATTATTTTAAATTTAATTCTCTCTCTCTCTCTTTTTTTTTTTTTAAGAGATAGGCTCTTGCTCTGTTGCTCAGGCTGGAGTGCAGTGGTACAGTGTTAGCTCACTGCAGCCTCAAACTCCTGGTCTCAAGAGAGCTTCCTCCTCATACTCCCCAGTAGCTGGGACCACAGGCATTGTCACCACACCCAGCTACTTTTTTATTTTTTGTAGAGATGGGGTCTAGCTGTGTTGACTTGGCTGGTCTCTAACTCCTGGCCCCAAGTGATCTGTCTTGGTATCCTAAAGTGTTGGTATTACAGGCATGAGCTGATGTGCCTGGCCTAGATTTAATTCTTGTAAACAGTATGTTGTTAGAATCTGTTTTATTTTAGCCAGAAACCCTTTGCCTTGTAAATATTGTGCTTCAGCCATTTTCTGCTGTCAGGATTATTGCATATCTGATGCCTGTGTTTTGTGGCCGAACGTATTGTACTTTCTTGTTTATTTATTTATTT